TTACAGATACTGCTTCTGGGGCATCTGGGTGGCTCAGTGGGTTAAACGTCTGATTCTTGACTTCGTCTCAGGTTGTTCTCTCACCGTTTGTGGGTTCGATCCTCGCATCAGGCTCTGTGCTGACAGTGCGGCGCCTGCTTGGGATTTCTCTCTCTCCCCCTCTCTCTCTGCCCCTCCCCTGCTCGCTCTCTGTCTCTGTCTCAAAATAAATAAACTTTAAAAACCAATAATGCGTCTAGGAGCATTCGTGTACCTGCATTTAGCACACTGGTGCACACTGGAAGGAAATCTGCAGGCCACAGGCTCAGCTTTAGTTTTCTGAAATAGTTGTGCCAGCGTACATGCTCTCAGCGTCATGAGAGCTCCAGTTGTCCCACATCCTCGTCTGCACTTGCTAGTGCCTTGTTTTCATTTTGGCCATTCTGGCTGGCAGACAGCAGAGTCACATTACAGTGTCAGTTTGCACTTCTCTGGCGATTCATAAAGTTGAGCACTTCTTCACATACTTATTGGCCACTTGCATAGGTGCTTTTGTGAACAATGACTCCTTTCCAGTTGTCATTTTGGTTGGAAAACATTTCTGAAAATGGCTCCTGTGCTGAAAGAGTCTGTGTTTCTCTTCCCACCTGGTTGATCATTTCCAAGCCTCGGCATTTGGCAGTTCTCCGAAGGGTTCCAAAGCCAAGGGGAGTCAGAGAGAGGAGTTGGAGGGTGGGCCCAGCCAACACTGGACATCCCTGAAGTGCTGGAAGTTCCACGGCTGCAGCAAGGCCTTGCTCTGTGCACCCTGGCATTGCTGTGCAGCCTTCAGTTTACAGGTCGCTCAGAAATTAGCAGAGATGATTTTTATTTCCTATTCAGAGCTAAAGACGTGCCCTGAACTCCAGCCCCAGCCCCCTTTCTCACTTGCTTTGGAGTTGGGCTCTGGACTGATTTCAAAGACCGCAGAGGAATGAGGATAAACAGAGTTCTTTCCTCCTCCTCAGCCCCTAACTAGGCAGGGAACACACAGGGCATTGGGTTTGCTTGACAAGGCTTAGCATTTTGGGGATTGAGGACCTGATGTGTGTGCCTAGAGCTTTAAAATATTTAAGGAAGCTTTCAAGCTCTGGCATGATTATCAGACATTAACAGCTCAGAATTTTCCTGATGCAAAGTGCCAGCCCCTCTCCCCTCAGAGCCAAAACCTACCTTGTTAACAGCCCTCCCCAAGCTTATCCTCACCAAGGGCAACCAAACAAATGCACGGGTGGGGAGGAGATAGCTAGAAATGGCACGTGTTAAACACCTACTCTGTGTTATCATGCTAAGTGCGTTACACTTTCCAGCTCACTGAATCCCCACCACAATTAAATCCCCACCTGAACTGAAACCTGCCCTGTTGGGGGGTGGGGGAGGGATTTATAGGAGCATGGGGGAGCTAAGGCAGACATGCTTCTGGGTAAGAGCAATTTATTCCAATAGCTTAAAACATCTATAGAGGACATGCCCCGAGGCAGGACATCAATTTGTTCATTGAACAGACAATTTCCGGGCCATCCCCCTGTGTGCAGACTGAGGGCTGTAGGTCCTAGGACAGGTGAGTCGGCTCATGTCCTTTAAGAAGTTCACAGGCTGCTTGTGACGAGGTATGGAATTGAAAACCCTTGCCACGTTTGTCTAAGTGGAGGAAGAGTGCACTTCTGGTCAGGACACCTGGTGCACGGGGCCCACCTGGGCTCTGCCACGAGTGGGGACTGGCTCCTGGCTGGGGCCCTTACCGGCCATATGTCCTTGGGCAAGTGACTTACCCTCTTTGTGTTTCAGTTTCCTCCTCCTTAAAATAGGGATAGGGGTGCCTGGGTGGCTCAGTCGGTTAAGCATCTGACTCTTGGCTTCAGCTCAGGTCACGATCTCATGGTTTTGTGAGTTTGAGCTCGGCATTGGGCTCCGCGTTGACACTGCAGAGCCTGCTTGGGATCCTCTGTCCCTCCTCTCTCTCTCGGTCCCTCCCCCACTCATGCTATCTCCGTCTTTCTCAAAATAAATAAGCTAAAAAAACTTAAAAAATAAATCAATAAAATGAGGGTAATAATAATAGTTATAATAACTTCTACCCCAAAAGGTTGTTGTGATACGAGTTTGATAATACATTCACGTGAGCAGTTCCCCACAGCACCTGACCACATAAGTCTTCGGTAAAGAGTGACTACAGTTAACCTGAAACTAATGTGACATTGAGCGTCAGCCATACTCAAATAAAAAAATATATAAATAAACAACTTAAAGTAACTATAAGTAGATAGGAGGATAGGGATTTGGGAGGGGGTGTTCACAGAGTCATGATTTGGGGAGCAGCGCAAAGCTTGGATCAGAACCAGATGGGAGGACAGGGAGAAGGAGACCTGGGTACCAGGGTGTAGCTATGGGAACGCCTCAAGAGAGGTGTCGGGTATGGGTCCAGGCATGGTGACTGTGTGACCATGTGACTGACGGTGACTGATCTGCTCTCTGGGCCTGAAAAACAGGAGGCCAGGCCTCCCTGGCCAACATGAGTGTTCGTATGAGGGTCAAAAGAGGATACGGAGGCAAGAATGTTTAAAGCCACCAATGCTCCCCGTGGATATGCCACACAGCACAGCCTCGTCTCGAGTGAAGGAGAGCTGGGGACACTCTGGTGTGTGGCTTCCAGTGCACCGGCCACATCCTACTTTAACTCGAATGGCTCTCCATATTAACTCCGCAGCTCTCGTAAATGAAAATTCCTCCAAAACACACTCTTGACCTCTTTCCCATCCCTTATATTATTCCTATCACAACTCTTGTGTCAGTATTCACTACTTACAGTTTTATGGCATCTTAGCACATTATAGATGCTTTTAAACTGTCACTTGTTCTGTTACCAAAAAAGCGTTCAGACGCAGCTCCAGGGGGCACCTGGGTGGCCCCATTGGTTAAGTGTCCGACTCTTGATTTCGGCTGGGGTCATGAGTTTGAGCCTCACACCAGGCTCTGTGCTGACAGTGCAGAGCCTGCTTGGGATTCTCTCTGTCTTCCTTTCTATCTCTCTCTCCCCTCCCCTACTCTCTCTCTCTCTCAAACAAAAACAAAAACAAAAACCTTAAAAAAAAAAAAAAAGATGCAGCATTAGGCCTCTAACGTGTTACCATCAGCTTGGGGAAACTAGCCCTATACAAGCCATATGAGACAACATGTTACCGCCATCCTCTCATTCCTGACCCAGCTGACCAGCACCATTCCTCTCCCTCCAGACCTTCCAGGCTGTCCTGTTTTATGCCTCTGTGCCTTTGCCTGTTCTCTCGGCCTAGAGTACTCCCCTCCCTAACGTGACATAAAACTCCTATTCATCCTTCAAAACCTTTTCAGTAATCCTCTCTTTGAAGCTTTCAAACAATTCTTCCATAGGAACTGCCCAGTTTCTGCCCCTTGTGCACTTAGGAATCATTGCATCTATTACACTTTGTTACAAGTATTCACCTGCTTAAACTCCAGCCCTGAGCCCTTCTCCACTTCCAGGGCTGCCTCTGGCCTTGGTTTAGTTATCTCTGTATACCTAGGTCCAATCAGAGGGCCTGGAAGAGAATAAGAGCTGAATAAATATGTGTGCAATAAAACTAATTAAACTTGGTCCCACATCCAGATGTTCTATGGGTTATGAATTTTAATTCATGAATTTTCCCAGAACTGGATATTAGAAGAAAATACATCCCTCTGCTGATTATCGAAAGGTGCTACAGGAGAAGTTTGAGGGTTCAACGGAATTTCAAACAGCCTCCCCAAGCCTAACCTGTTTCTAAGAGGAAGCCCACTGCAGATCCCCTCCTAGGTCAGAGGCTTTCATTTTTATTGGGACCTGCAGAGAGAAGTATTTTTTCCATTGAGACACACGGAACATGCATATCAGAGAAACAGCTTTCGTGGAATACTTACTCTTGCTATGGTCATTGCTCTCCATGTTCTCTTTCTTGTCTTTCTTCTTTGTTTTTTTTTTTTTAATTATTTTTTTAGGGGCGCCTGGGTGGCGCAGTCGGTTAAGCGTCCGACTTCAGCCAGGTCAGTCTCGCGGTCCGTGAGTTCGAGCCCCGCGTCAGGCTCTGGGCTGATGGCTCGGAGCCTGGAGCCTGTTTCCGATTCTGTGTCTCCCTCTCTCTCTGCCCCTCCCCCATTCATGCTCTGTCTCTCTCTGTCCCAAAAATAAGTAAAAAAACGTTGAAAAAAAATTTAATTATTTTTTTAAATTGCTGGTCACCATCCAATGAATTGATTTCAGAATTCTATTTATTTATTTATTTATTTATTTATTTATTTATTTATTTATTTATATTCTTGAGTGGGAGAGAGAGACAGAGTGTGAGAGGGGTAGGGGCAGAGAGAGAAGAAGACAGAATCCAAAACAGACTCCAGGCTCTGAGCTGTCAGCACAGAGTCCGCGACCAGGCTCCAACTCACCAACTCCGAGATCATGACCTGAACAGAAGTCAGAGGCTTAACTGACTGAGCCACCCAAGCGCCCCTCTTTTTATTTATTTATTTATTTATTTTTAATGTTTACTTATTTTTGAGAGAGGCAGAGAGTGAGCGGTGGAGGGGCAGAGAGAGAGGGAGACACAGGATCTGAAGCAGGCTCCAGGCTTCAAGCTGTCAGCACGGAGCCCGAGGCGGGGCTTGAACTCATGCGCTGTGAGGTTATGACCTGAGCCGAAGTCCGACACTTAACCAACTGAGCCACTCAGGCACCCCAGTTTCGGGATTCTTTAGTCTAACTGAGCCACCCAGGCGCCCCGGTTTCGGGATTCTTTAATCAGTTGCTTCCCACAGTTTGAAAACCCCGGCTCTAAGCCTCCAGCTAGTATAACTGAAGAAGCCTTCCCGGAGGAGGAGTCCCAGCCCTGGAGGCCAGATCAGAGGAGCAGGTGCGCCTGTGGTGGGCAGATGGTAGGCAGGGGTGAGCAGGTGTGTGAAGGCAGCAGCAAGACTAATCCACTTTCCTCTCGTTGCAGCTGAGCCCCTGCCGCTGATGGACCTGTGCCGGAGATCCATCCGCTTGGCCCTGGGCCGCCAGCGCCTACGGGACATCGGCTCCCTGCCCCTGCCTCAATCTCTCAAAAACTATCTGCAGTACCAGTGAGGCTGAGGAGCAGCAGTGGGGACCCACACACAGCAGGGCCTGGGCCTGTCATTTCACGGTCACACAGTACATTCAGGAAGGCGTCCTCCTCCTCGCCCCAGAGCGCCAGGACACTCCGTTCTTGGAAAGGACCAGGACGCGTTCCCAACGTTGAAAGTGAAATGTCCCTTGCCAACAGTATTTGCCACCCTGGAGGCAGCCCTCCTAAGTCAGGCGCCTCCTTGGGAGCCATGAGGAGCCCAGAGCCTGCGCCCAGCGGAGATCCTGCCCCCCCGACCAAGAAGACACAGCAGCCCCGGTACTGATCAGAGAGCGTGTCTCCTTATTCACGAGAATGAATGAAACATTTGGGCGGGAGGCTCGCTGTGGTGTGCCCGGGTGCAGACAGGGCCGGGGAAGACTGGCCAGCTCGGGGAGGAAAGTGTGGCCGAATGATGAAGGACGAAAGCAGCTTGGTGCCGACGCCCTCTTGACACCTCGGGACTTTGTGCTCCATTGAAAGACTGTTACCCAGGGATGCCTGATGACAGAATTGGCAAGTGGACAAAGCCGTGTGTAGACCCCTTCCAGCTTACCTCCTTGCACATTGTTTACTTACCCTTTCACGTGCCCTCTGTCCCCACCGCTGACCCACAGTTCCCTGGCTACCCCGGGCACCTCTCTTCGGGGAAGCTGAGTCTGACTAATTCACCCCGGGGACAGAGTGTAGCCTTGATTATTATTATCTTACATCTGGTGGCATTTTAAAAGAGGAATGTGGTGAGGGCAGTACGTAGTCCAAAGGTGCTAATGGGGGAAGTGGGGGCATCGTGACACCCGAGTGGATGATGGCCTCAGGCTGGGGAGCCTTCCTGGGGTGCCGAGGGACTCTAGGCAACCGTCCATTCGGATGTACCTAGCCGTCACAAAGCTTTATTTGAGCGAATTATTTTTTCACTTTAGGAGACACGAACGAGTTTGTTTCTGTTTCAAGCGTGTGTGCGATGTGCTGTTTATTTATCAGCCTGGGGCTGCACGGGCGGCCCCGGACCCGTAGGGGTGCAGGTCCCGAGCCTGGTCCTCTCCTGGGGATGCCACCACCACCCTTGTCGGGCATCTCTCCTGCACTCCCAGAGCTCTGTCCAGACTCCGTTATAACTGGAAATTGTCACCGCAGTGGGATCCCAGAGCCCCAGACGGCACCGCCTCCCCCGACTTTAATGTGAATTTGACTGATGAATGAGGAGCGTTTCTAATAAAGTGTGTTGTTCAGTCCTTCCGCTGTTTACTAAGTGCTGTGTGGGGAGGCGTGGGAGGGCGTTCTTCATCAGCCTGGCTGGTGTGTTCCCAGACCCTCATAAGGCAGAAGTGGGAACCCCTCTCCAGGCTCTTCTCGCGTCTTCCGTCTTGTCGTTCCCACTTGAGCCCAAACCCGAGTCACTTTACAAAGGCCTGTCCCGGAAGAACGAATGTGTCTGGGGCCTGGGTCCCCACAAAGCTAGTCCCCACGGTGGGAAAACAGGTTGGACGATGCCGGGGTGGGGGTGTCCAAGGGTGGGCTCTGCAAGGAGCACAGGGTCAAGCAGGGTGAACCCTACGGGATAACAGTTTCAAACTGGACCCAGAGGTGGAACTGGATGTGACTTTGGATGTGCATGTCATCATCGAGGAGTGGTGCAAACGGCTGAAGGGTGAGTGTGCAGCCGAGACAGGCTTGGAGCTGTGAGCAGGTCAGGAGCCAGTCCAAGACAAGGTCTGGGCCAGGACGGGCACAGCATTCACTCAGCAGTACAGGCCACCAACATGCACATTGCCAACCTCTGAGGACCCAGAGCACAGGCAGATCTGTCCCTCCAGGGGAGATGTTTACAGATGTTACGGACTAATAAAGGGAGAGGAAGATCACAAAGCTGGTGTAGGAAGATAAGGGCCTGAAGGGAAGGCTTCCTGGAGGAGGAGGCACTCCTCATACCTGTTTTTTCAGCAAAAACAACCTTGGTGAGGATGGACCGAAAGCATCAGACCGGCTAAGCCTACCACCCGGGTCAGTGTTCTTCCCTTGCTCTGATGTCAGGGCAGAGGCTGGGCTCAGTTTTGGGAGTCAGGGGGCCTGGGTTTGAGTCCCAGCATTGTGACTTAATGTGCTGTGACCTTGGGTAAACCACTTCCTTCTCTACACACTGTAGTGGCTAGACCAGGTGGCCAGTGGACAAGGATCCTTCCTCTCCTGACTCCTAGGGTCCTAGTTTCAGCACCAACTTTCCAGCTTAAAGACACCTGTCTTGCCCATGCCTTGCTTATGTAATTTCCTTCACCCCAGCAATACTCTCCCTGTCCTTGCTTTACCTTCTCTAGGATCAGCTTAGATTCACCCTCCTTCAGGAAGCCCTCCTTAAAACCACCTACCAACCTCTACCTGCTCTGAGAGTCTGCTCCTCGCCTCCCAGGCTTGAGGATGCCTCTCCCGGCTCCCAGGGCCCTTGCCTAAGCGCTGGCTTGGCTGTCCCAGTGGGCTGAGAGCCTTGGGGTGGTAGAGCCTGGGCCTGTTGTTCCCACACAGACCTGGACCAGATGTGTGGTCTCAGCAAAGGCCCACGAGGTGGAGATGTGTGTGGAAGTGCCCCCCTTGTACCTGGGATGCCCATGGAACCTGCAAGGAAAGTCTCTGGGGGAGAGGAGGAATTCCTGCTAGAGCCAAGGACCTGGCCATGAGCCTCCAGGAACTCGGGCCCTTTCACCCCCTTAGCCATTCCGCAGGTACTGTTGGACATTGGAGTGTGCCCAGCACTGCCAGAACAGGAAGGAGGGGATGTGGCCCTGCCCTGCTGGACCTCTCATTCTGAGCCGGAGACAGGTAACAGGAAGCAAAGCCAGGGAATGAAGTCAGAGGGAAGAAAGGAGCTGGGCAGGGCTAGAGAGCAGGGAGGGGAGCGGAAAGGGCCCAGGACTGATAATGGTGAAGGAAAACCAGTGCAGAGATGCAGAGTTGGGAAGAAATGAGAGGGAGCCATACACAGAAAGCAGGGGTGGGGGAGGTGGATCTCTGGGTGGGGGAACTTCCTGCTGTCCCATCCTCAAAGCAGGAGCTTCTAGGCCCTGGTGAGATGGGCTCAGGTCAAGAGCCACTGTGCTGCCACCCTGCCTCAAGCACTAGTTCAGTTTGCCTATGATGTGTGTCATGTCCCCAGGGTTCCTAGTGTATTAGCACTGTCTACACACACACACACACACACACACACACACACACACACACGCCAGTGCAGGCATCCCGGGAGCCTCTGACCACTCCCCAGAGCCAGTGCTCATCACAACCCAGCCCCCAGCTCTCTCTCATCCTTGGCACGTTCTCTGAGGTTCGGCCTTTCTCTCCATGACCTGGTTCTGCTGGAGGCACTTGCTGAGACAGTCCCCCTAACTGCTTTCTAACTGTCTATGAACAGAGCATATGGGGGGCACAGCCTCCCACAGAGCTGAGCTTTACCCCATCTAACATTGCCACTTTCTGGACAGTGGCCATCCTCTTTCCTTTGCTTTCTCTTCAAACCCTCCTGCCAGCAGCTGGCTTCTTTGGGGGCCATCTTTCACTAAGAAACAAAGATTTCATCACCTCACTGTGTGGCAGCCAGACGGGCAGCAGGTAGCAAGGAACACGGTTACTTGGTGGTTGATTTGTGCAGGACAGCCGGGCCCGCTCTCCAGGACCCGGCTCCCAGCTGCAGCCTCTGAACGGGAGACACGGCTGGGCCTCAGCCAATGGACAGGAGACCATATGGCACCTCTCCCCAGGCCCCTGGCAAGGAGAGGAATGTCCACAATGAGTCCAAAACACAAGGAGCTGGTCTTCTCTTCCCTCTAGTTCTGAGGGCCTGAGTCCCATTCCAGTCTGCAGACGTGTTTTGTCTTCCCACTTCATGTGTGTGTCTAAATAAAATTGAGCCCAACCCAGTAAAATCAAGTAATTTAGCAGAAAATCCAGATTTCTGACGTCTCTTAAAAAATAGGGAGATGAGCTGAGACCAGGCCCACATTCCTTGACGGTGATGTTGGCCAAAGCTGAGTAGTGACAGCCTCTTGAGAAGAGGCCTCTGTTCTGTGATCCAGCCCTAGCTCCACCCTTCCCACAGCACAGCATCAGGACCTCTCACTGCCAACCTCCCTCATGGGTGTAACTGTCTGGATCTGGGTCAAGGCTTCTGAGTTCACCTCTCTGGACTATTGCTATAACACAGTCACATACACAAGCACACTCAACCAAGGGCAGCTTCGGGAGGGGAGTCTGTGAGTTCTAAACTTGACTTTGAAGTGCCTCACAGCCTCGGGCCCCGATGTCCAAGGAGCTCACAGACACCCAGGATCTCCGCCCAGATACCAGGGTTAACCAGTATGCCCCTGGTTAGAGGATGAACTCTTAGAGGACAAGGAAAAGAATCCCTGGGTACTCTTTTTTTAAATGTTTATTTCTTTTTCAGAGAAAGAGGGACAGAGAGAGAGGGACACACAGGCTCTGAGCTGTCAGCCCAGGGCCTGATGTGGGGCTCAAACCCATGAACCGTGAGATTATGACCTGCGCTGAAGTCGAACACTTAGCCGACTGGGCCAGCCAGGTGCCCCTCGGGTGCTCTTTTAATAAGCTGCATGATATGACTAGGCAAGCGTGGCTGCACTTGAGAATCCTCTGAGGAACTTTGTAAAAAGTCCCGGCGTCCGGATCCTTCTCCCCAGGCCAATTAAATCAGGACCTCTGGGAGTGGGCCGTGGGCTTTGATAGTTTGTAAAGCTATCTAGGTGATTCTAATGCACAGCCAAGTTGAATCTCTCTGGAAGAGGTGCCTAATTAAGTTTTCTCGGTGGAGACATGGTGGACACTGGGGGATAAAGCTTATCAGAGAACAGAGACAGCTATCCTAGCCCACCCAGAACTCCCAGGGAAGAGAAGATTTTGAAGGGCAGTTGTCACCAATGTGATTAAGTCCAAAGCCAGGGAGTACTTCCCAACTCTCTCTCTTCCTTTAGTGATGCTGAGTTGGCTGCTCTCCAGAACTGGAGTGGAAGGACCATTCACTTCTGCCCCAATGGCGCACAATTCTTGACTAATTCATTCCAGCCCCACCCACCCCCCTGACCTGTGGGGCCCACGGTGTGTGGAGAATTTCCTAGAGAGATTTGTCATGATCACTCAAAATATCCATACAACAATAAATACAGAAAATATAGAGTGACTGAGAGTGGCGTGGTCCTGGATGTACTGTTTTGAGTAGAAGAATTGAGAATGGTGAGCCCCAGCTATAAGAACGCTTTGGTTCCCGGTATTTCCAAACCTTGCTTCCTTAAGGAAGATGGCACATATGACCTAAATAGTGATGCCCTCCTCCACTTCTTTGATGGGTTTGGGGAGTAAATAAGTAGCGACAAGCTCGGTGACAGTGTCCCCACCTGCTTGAGATGACAGACAAGACAGGTTGCCCACTTTCACCACTTCTGTGCAACATTATATTGGAAATCGTAGGCAGTTCAATAAGACAAGAATGAAAAATTAAAAGGTATAAAAGTTAGAAAGGAAGAAATAACACTATCATTATTTGCAGATGACATCACTGTACAGATAGAAACAAATCTATAGAAAACTGTGAGAATCAATAAGGGAATTTAGAATGATCACTGGATACAGGGTCAGTGTTTTTTTAAATTGCATGTATAGGGGCACCTGGGTAGCTCAGTCAGTTGAGCCTCTGACTTTTGATCTTGGCTCAGGTCATGATCCCAGGGTTGTGGGATTGAGCCCCACATTGGGCTCTGTGCTGAGCATGGAGCCTGCTTAAGATTCTCTTTCTCCTCTCCCCCTCCCTTGCTTGTGATCTCTCTCTTTCTAAAATAAAATATAAAGCAAAATAAATAAATTGCATGTGTACATATTAACAACAATTAGAAAATAAAATTTAAAACAATGCCACTTACAGTACAAAAATAGGAAAATCTTTTTTCTACATTTGTTTTTTTTTTACATGTTTTAAAATTTCTTTTTTTTAAACGTTTATTCATTTTTGAGATACAGGGAGAGATGGCATGAGCAGGGGAGGGGCAGAGAGAGACAGACATACATAATCTGAACCAGGCTCCAGCTTCCAAGCTGTCAGCACAGAACCCGATGTGGGGCTTGAATCCACAAATCATGAGATCATGACCTGAGCCAAAGTTGGATGCTTAACCAACTGACTACCCAGGTGCCCCTAATTTATTTCCAAGTTAGTTAACATATAGTGTAGTCTTGACTTCAG